GGGGTGCCAAAAAAAAAAAAAAGCAACCATAAATTTGTCCCAAAACCTAAATAATCTAAAAATGTGATTTCTCATACTCAAAGCGGACAATTTAAAACCAACCCATTCAATTTTAGCAAATGAAATCAACACTAAAATCGATCGCCCTTCAAAATATCTAAAAGAACTTGTTATTTTTCACCCAAAAAGACATTCCACATCAAACCATTTTCAGTGTGAGCAAAAAATATCTAATTCCTGAATCACAAATGGCAATTTAAAAAAAAAAATAGCAACAATAAGTGTGAATTTTTTAATAACCATGAGGCTAACCCAATAAAAACAGCCTACTCACTTTCAGCAGACCCCGTTAAAAATATCCCAACAAATGAGTCTAAAAGAATCTTGTATTTCCACACAGAAAAAGGTTTTTAAAGAGCAAACCCATTTTAAATATCACAAATGAATTTAGAACTGCAGATAAGATAATAAGGTGTGAAGAAACATGCTTGTAATCGAAATGCAAAAACATTCACTCATTAGTAAATTCTCCCTGGGTGGGTGTGCGAAAACTTTTAACGTATGGAACCTTTAAACTTTTATAAAGTGAAAATATTACAGAGCGTAATTAGCAAAAAAGTCCCTACCTTTAAGTTTAATGTGGAAAAAGTTCACACATTTCATTTTTTGACATTTTTATCCATATTTTCATTTATTTTTTTGTAGAAAATGTCATTTACACTTTTTAATACAAATTGACCAAAATACCCTTCCATTTAAATAAAATAAAAAAGAAAAGAATAAATTATAATCTTACTTCTAACTATTTTAAAAAGTGTCAGTGAGTCCAAATAATCATTAAAAGGCCTAATAGCACAAAAAGTCCATATATTTGGCCTATAGTATGAAAAACGTTCATACATTTCAAATTGGTGAAAATGACGTTTTCCGCAATGAAATGTGAAAATAGGGATGAAAACTTAAAAAATTGAAACGTAGGGACTTTTTTGAAATAAGTGTCAAACTTAGGGATATTTTTTGCTATTAGACCTTATTAAAATATTTAAAAAAATTAAATCTCTCTCTCTCTCTTCTCTCCTCCTTCGAATGGGACTGCCACGTTAGAAGTGAAAAAACTCCGACAACCATCGCCCAAACCGATAAATCTCCGTACCGCTAAACTATTTGTTGATATTTTAAAACCATGAAAAGATGCGCCCCAATGAGTATAGTAGATTGGTACGTTGAAAATGACATGTGTCTCTCCGAAAGAGGTGATGCTGCAGTGTTGCATTCGCAAGTTAGGTATTTTGGCTTGCAATTCTGAATAAATCTATTGGCATGAAGTGAGGGTTTTTCTTTGGTATGATGGTCCAGCAGTTTAGGTAGTGGTTTGCCGAAATTTTTTGACTTCTAAGGTGGCTGACACATTTGGAGAAAAATAGAAGAGAGAGAAAGAGTTTTTTTTTAATGTTTTAAGATGGCCCAATAACAAAAAAATCTCTATTTGACGCTTTTTGTGAAAAATGTTCCAACATTTCAAATTTTTTGTGTTTTCATCCCTATTTGTATGTTTCATTGCAGAAAATGTCATTTTCATCAATTTGAAATGTGTGGAAGTTTTGTGCTATTAGTTCTTTTAGTAATTATTTGGACTCATTTGCACTTTTTAAAACAGTTAGGAGTAATATTGTAAATTATTCTTTATTTTTCTTTTCTTTTTTTAGTTTTATTTAAATTGGGGGTATTTTGGTCATTTTACATTAAAAAGGGTAAAAATGTAAAATGAAGTTTTCCCCAAAAAATGTAGAAATAAGGGCAAAAAATGAAAGGTTTGGACATTTTTCACGATAAACCTTAAAGGTATGGACATTTTATGCTAATTACCCTTTATAGTTTTAAAAAAGAGGTAAATAGTATAAAACATCGCTGTCTTTCAATGTCATTGTACAAAACGTCCATAACTTTCATTTTTTTAGCATTTTCACCCTTCATTGCACAAAATGTCATTTTCATCATTTTTTTCAATAAAAAGCTGATTTTACTCTCCTATTAGAATAAAACCAAAAGAAAAGAAAAGATAAAAAAAACTAATTGCAACAATATTTCCAAATTTTCAAAAAATTACAAATTAATCACAAATATATAATTAAAAATCAAAACAAAAATCATGTATCTTCTTCCTCTAAAATTAAAACTAAACTTTAAAATGGAAAATGCAATCATATCCATCATATAAATAATGATCTTGATGCGAACCTGTGAGCAACGAACACTCACGAACCCACAACGAGATTGTCACAATTCCCAAGAATACTAATAATCGCTGATTTTTTGGATTTAATCCCTAAACAATGAACTAGGCAACCGTAAACATATTAAATCTACGACCTCCTAACCACAAGGCTTATGAATCTCATCCGGATAATTGTGAACGCCACAAGATTTGTTAAATCTAGATAAGTTTGGTAAAGTGAAGCATCACGTCTCGAATGAGAGAACTCTCAATTTTCATTCATCATAAAACCTAATGTTCAATACAATGAAAATCCTATTTATACTAAAGAGATAAAACCTAACTAAAATTGAGATAAACTCCTAAACTATGGTAAAAAACGAGATTATAGACTCCTAGAATAAAGAAACTTGCCAAAATTAAAGAAGTTTAACCAAAATAAACAACTTGCGAGAAACTGGAAAATTCTGCCCCGATTTGGCTGTTGCGATCGCATGGTAATATTTGATGCGGTCGCATGGCGATCTCGTTGCCTGCCAATAAAACCTCTGCTATATGATGTGCAGCCGCAAGGACTTATTAACCATGCGGTCGCATGGTTACGATCTTGGTTAGATTTCTAGTCGCCTGTAATACCTTGATTCATTTGGTTCCGGCCATCGACCCTTTCATCAAATATGTCATTTGGCTTGCCATCTTCAACATTCCATACTCCATAGCTTGAGTAATTGATTGAACTAACTTGTGGCCTCGATTTGAGCTTGAATTTTAACTTCGGCTTCCCGTTAACACACAACGAATTCTTGCCAACTTGATGCGTATCCAGGATCACATCATCCTCTCTCTCTTCGAAAGAATTCGATCTCGAATCCAAATCTTGATCAAGCAAATTATAGCCCTTGTTTCCAATTAACTCGATGACGTGAAATGGTCCACTGCCTCTAGGATGAAACTTGGACCTCTTTTGCATTCTTATCCTCCTCTTGCATAAGTAAATCTAATCTCCGTCACACCTATCAAAGTGTACCCGTCTCAATGGATACCTTTTGTAGGTTTGAGATGCTCCAGTAAGAACTTCAATTGATAGATCACCGTTTATCCCCGATGTCTTCCTTCGCTTAGGTAGTTGCAACAATATCACCTCCAATAAATGCATGTTTTCCTCCACTTCAACTTCGTCTATCAACTCTTTGCACATCAATTCGTTCCACGGTGACTCCTTTATCTCTTCGGGGATTACAAATTCAATCAACGGCAATAAAGGCATTTCCAAGACAAGGTGTTGTTGGTTAGCTTCTTCCACAAGTTGATGTTCAATTCCCGGGTCGGGTAGTACTCCAACGGGTTTATTTTCTGAAATCAAATATCCGGTAACCTGCAAAACAGAATTAACAAAGTTGGGGAGGGAAATGTTAGTTTTCTCCAACGACCCCTCAACTTCACGCTCCTCTTCATTTAAGCTCACTTTCAACTCCTCATTCCCCTCCGAAGATTCTTCTTCATTTTATTTCCGCAACTCTACTTCCCCTTTTTTATTTTCACGCTCAATTTATTTTTCACTTTCTTGGGGCTCATTTCCTATTTTCACACAATCAACCACCTCACACTTTTTACTTTTACTCTTTCGCTCCTTCGATTGTACAACTTGAGAATTAAGCATGTCACGGATCTTCTCCAACTCCCGCTTATAATCCAACCCTGTTCCCTTGCTTGATTTACTGTCCACACACTTAGCAAAGACTATCTTCTTCTCCACTGGATAATCCCCATAACATCTCCTAAGTTTCTCCCTAGGATCCCGTTCACGCTGATCAATCCTATGCCTTCTTTCGAACCCATCACATTCATTCCTCCATCCCCGTACTTCGTCAATGTCATAATTATACCCAAATGCATCACAATTTCTCATCCTAGGCTCCCGCCTTTTAGCATTGAACCTCTCACCACATTGATCCCTATGAATATTTTTCAACTTTGCATCAATCCTGTAAAACTTATTTCCCAACCTATCTTCCATATTCACCAACATTTTCTTAAGACGCCGCATCATCCTTTCAGACATATTGATTGGTTTTCAATTGGGTTGTGGGTGAGACTCAAGAATTTTTAAAGGCTCAAAGAATGAACAGAAACTTTGGAATGAATTATGAAAATTCAAGAAGTGGTCTTGAATTTCTGACTGACTGGACTACCTTGATTGGAACTTTAATATGAATTCAAGAAAGTGATTCTTGAATTGGAATTTGACACAATAACAATTTTTTTTTTTGTTTTTTACCCGAATAATAACTTGACTTTTTTTTTCTGGACAGTGAACAGTAAAATTTTTTTTTTTTTTTTACTCACTAGATAGAAAATTCGACTACGATGCTAACGGAATGAATGGAAGTTGATTTGGACGAAAATCGAATTCAAATACAACTTTTGAAATTTTTTTGGATTAAAGACTCGAAATTAATAACTGACTCCAAGAACAACAAGAACAATTAAAAAAAAGGAAAACTAACTCAACAAGAAAACGAAAAGATATAACCTTCGATTTTGGAGCCTAAACTCTGATACTAAATGATATGAACCCGTGAGCAACAAACACTCACGAACCCACAATGAGATTGCCACAGTTCCCAAGAATGCCAATAATTGCCGATTTTTGATTTAATCCCTAAACAATGAACTAGGCAACCGTAGATATATTAAATCTACGATCTCCTAATCACAAGGCTTACGAATCTCACCCGGATAATTGTGAACGCCACAAGATTTGTTAAATCTTGATAAGTTCGGTAAAGTGAAGCATCACGCCTTGAATGAGAGAACTCTCAATTGTCATTCATCATAAAACCTAATGTTTAATACAATGAAAATCCTATTTATACTAAAGAGATAAAACCTAATTAAAATTGAAATAAACTCCTAAACTATGGTAAAAAACGAGATTATAGACTCCTAGAATAAAGAAACTTGCCAAAATTAAAGAAGTTTAACCAAAATAAACAACTCGCGAGAACCTGGAAAATTTTGCCCGAATTTGGCTGTTGCGACCGCATGGTAATATTTGATGCGGTCGCATGGTGATCTCGTTGCCTGCCAATAAAACCCCTGCTATATGCTGTGCGGCCACAAGGACTTTTTAACCATGCGGTCGCGTGGTTACGATCTTGGTCCAATTGCCGCCTGTAACACCTTGATTCGTTTGGTTCCGGCCTTCGACCCCTTCATCAAACATGTCATTTGGCTTGCCATCTTCAACATTCCATACTCCGTAGC